ACCTATTGATCGTAGACCAGGATGGCGGGTCATCTGGAGATGATCCGTGGTGGTCAGGAGCCGCACGCAAGATGTATGGCATGTCTGTCGCTAGTGTGACTGCGAGACGGTACAATTGTATGCGGTCGTTATGACACATACTGAATCTTGCACGGACAGGTGTGTACGCAGACTGTGGGTCGTTGTGCACGGGACAATCGGTGGAACGGCACCAAGACAGAACACCATATATACAGCTGGTTACGCTGGAGCGTAGGTCGGCCGACTCACAGCCTCGCGTCTCGCCCACGTGGTGCTGGGCAGGGAGACATGGTTTGTCAGTTCTCCTGACACGTGTGTGTACGGAAACACAAATATGCGAGAGTACAGGGGACACAGAACCAACATGTCTATCGGCCTGTGATCAGACTACATGTACCACATCGGTGCGGCGTCTCCTTATCGAAACCACCTAACGCGAATCGCTGTCGGCCGGTGTGTGTAGCGTGCATATCGTTCGCCCGTTGCGCATCAAGTGATGGATTTATCGCTGGCGCTGGTACGGGGATCGAAAAAGGCTTACCACACGCGAGGGATGAATGTGCAAATCATAATTTGGTGGAAAGAGCCACAGCACACAAAGGTGTTCGCGAGTTATTCGGCAGAGGTACCGGCGTACACAACTTCGCATTTCATGGACCTATGCCCGGTGATGTCTAAGCACAATGCCTTACATCTGGTGTTGTGTGGTTCGTACCGGTGTGTGGACCGGGGGTTGCGCAGTAAGCGGAGTCAGTGATGCGTGTTGACGGTCGCGAGAGGGTCCGTTACCGCAACTACACATGACCGTGGTGGGGCCACAGACATGCACGTTCGTTGGTCATCCACGCGTGCTGTACTGGGGTACATGGCGAGGCATATCACATTGTGTGCAATGCTTTGGGGGGTGCACGGTCCGAATGCGTCGGCGACAACACGAGCGAGGAGACGTTTACGATGCGCGCCGGTAGGCAGGTGCATACCGTGACGCGTGTACCTCGTCATCGTTCTCACGTTCTCGATATCTATTTTGCTTTGCTTGTGCCTTCATGCCCAATTGTCCCCCGTGATCAGGATATTGATCGGTATATCGGGGGCACGTCGTCCAGGGACGGAGATATGAGCGGGGACGGGAACACCTCGGATGAATCCGCTACTGGCCGCGAGGAGTACGCGGCGGAGAGGAAAGGACAGCACCAATGAACGGGCTGTCATCAACGCGTCGGTTAAGACCTCAGGGCCGACATGGCGGCGAGGTTCCCGGAGTTGCTGGAGACCGTGTGCGTCCGGGGCGGCGGGGCCGCGGTGGGTGGCGCTGCCGAGGTTGCACCAGCGCCGATGTATGGGGGCGCGGGTGCGAATGGCTTCTCGTCCGGCTACGGGTCACATCACGGTGGTCCAAGCCCCGGGTTGCTGCAGGGCGTTGGTCGGCGTGGCAGCGGGGGCGGCTTAAGCTTCGCTCCCGCGGTGCCGTCCCTGTTTGGAGCGGGAGGCTCACACATGGATTCCGGTGTATACAGGGGTGGAGCAGGGGTGTCGTCCGCCCACCGGCGGATGGAGAAGGTGATCATGGACCAGCGGGTGAACGCGTGGAGCTCGGTGAACATCCGCATGTGGTGCTTCATAAGCTGGAAGTTCTGCGAGCGACAATCTGCAAGTGGCCCTGCGCGCCACTGCTGTGCTTCTGAGTCCAAGTTACGGGGGGTGATTGGTTCACTGTTGCATATCTGTGAAGTCGTGCGGCCTGGTAAATATTTGTTCGCCGTAGGCTCCACCTGTTGGGGGCTACCGCCGGTGCGATTGACAGCCCGGGGGCGAGAACAGAAACGGATCGGTTCCGAGTTTCGTTCGGACATGCGGTTTTGGCGTCTGATGGTAGAAGGGGGCTTGGGGTCGCCGTCGCGGTTATTAACAGCCCCACTTTTTTGTTTGGTTGGTTATGTTTCGATCAACCATATTCGCGTCTTTCGTGGTCAGACGTATCTGGTGATGCCATGGGAGGGTATTTCTTGCACGCCGAATTCTGTTCGGGAGTACGGTGGCGTTTCGATTTCAGTCAGGAAGTACGGGAGAGGTTTCGCCAGCAGGCTGAGGGGCGCGATGGTTTGAGCATAAACACGCTCAAACTCCTCGCGATGGTGGTTGTCGCCTGGGTGTTGATTGTGCAATCGGACATGAGGCCGGAGTACGCCCGCAATAGCATCCAATTGATGGGAGACAACTCCTCGCGTGTGGCCTGGGTGAACAAGTATCGGGGGGGAAGCGAGCCCCGGTCGGGAGGCACTTATGCGTATGCTCGGATGTTTAGAGATGGGCAGCGGGTGGTGCTTTGAGGCGCTCAGGTTAGGGGTGTCGATAACACGATTGCGGATGGTATTTCCCGATGAGAGCCGGAGACCATGGACGCATGTCTTCGCCTGTCCCGTCCCAATGTCGCATGGCGCCAACTTGTCCTGGGCCCGGAGGTCGCCGATCTTTGTACCGGCGTCTTAGCCGCGAGTACGTCCGCGAGTCAGTTGCGCAGTCGTCTCGAAGAACTTACCTGTCGGGTTGGCGGGCTTGGTGCGCTTTGCGCCGCATGGTTGGTGAGTCGGAGTACCTCTCGGGGGATGCAGATGGTGCTGTGCTGGAACAAGCACTTTTGGAGTGTGTGGCGTGGTGTTGTGCAGATAAGGGTAACATTGCACCGACCATATCCGGCAAGCTCGCCGCGGTACAGTACCTTCATCGAGTTGACAAGCAGCTTGAGTTGCCTACCGGTGCGCCTCTTATCAAACGGAGTTTGTTGGGTGTCGCACGTGTTCACTTCCGAGCGGGTACGAAGAGTCGCAGTCGTGTTCCCGTCTCGTGGGAGACGTTGTTGGAAGAACAGCAGTTGACGGCGTCGTGGGGTACAGGTGGCCGCGTGTTGTGGCTGTGTTTGGCGGTGTCGTACTTCCTGGTGGCGCGTTCAGATGAGGTTTTGCCACACTGTCGGGACAATGCCACCAGGTGCTTTGTTTGCGGCGTAGCGACGTCGAATTCTTTGATGGGGAGTACGTGCTAGCCCCGTTGCACTGGCACAAGGCCACAGGAGTTCGGGTTCGGTTTCGCGGCCACAAGGGGGATCAGTCGGAGACGGGGGCGTGTTTACACGGGTGCGCGATGCACGAGGCGCGCATTCTCAGGAGCCGGTGGCGGTGCCGTGGCGGTGTTGGTGGAATTGATGGCGTGCCATCTCGCTTTACCTGAGGACGCCCCTCTGTGCTCGTTTCGCTGTAGGAGGAGCAATACGGTTAAGGTTTGGGGATAATTCCAAAGCTCTTAGCGCCCTTCGCCAGATTGTGGAGAACGCAGGTGGCGACCCGAGACAGGTTGGCTTGCATTCGGTGAGAATCGGGGCCGCCACCACGTTGGCAGCAGGAGGAGACGTACCGGACAGAATTATACAGAGAGAGGGTAGATGGAAGGAAGGTTCGGGTACGTTTAAAATATATACTAGGAATAATATGGTGGACGTAGACATGGTATCCCGTAAACTAGCGAAGGGGAAGCAGACGGAGCAGAAGAAGGGTTAGCACACACGAACGGGCAAAGGGACAGAATGCCATCCCACTAAACGTCGATGTTGGTGGATGTCAATGGTATGGAGTACCATTGGGGGTCTCGGTGTACTGAGACGGCATTTTGTTAGGGCCTGCCAGTTGACATGGAAGGGGAACTTGGACTCTGGAGGAGAGAGGGAAGCGACCGGTGTCCTCCCCTCGTTATTGGCCAGAGAGTTACCTTCCAGACTTCGCGGAAAATAATAATAAAAATGACACTTCGGAAAAATACAATAAAGTGGTGTGGTATCTGGCGTGTGCCTTGACACGTAGTTGTCGTCGCTGGAGAGGTCGATTGTTAAGGTGACACGTATGATACCATATATTGTGTGCAGCTCCGATTACTTTTGTGCCGCCGAAAGATCGGGGACGTGCCTCACCTAAGAGGGATAACATGCCGAGAGACCCAGAAAGAGACAAAGCGGAAACCCAACACAAAAGCACACACGCACATTGGCCATGTGTACAACAATCCACACAAAACGCCACCCCAACATGCGATCAACCCGGTCCAGCGTGTGCGAGAGAGAGCAGAGACAGCGCAGACCGGAGCTGATGCGACGAACCAACGGCCGTTTAATGCCTAGGTGCTTGCCTTTGTTGTGATCGCGGTGTGTGTGAGGCTCCCATTGTACGGGAGTGAAAGGTCCGTCTACCGTGTGCAACTCGCTGTAGGGAAGGGTACGTGATACGAGTTCCGACAACCGGACAACAGCCGTTATGTATTCCCTCAGCGACAGGGCAACCGCACCCACGCCGTCTAGGTAGGGCGAATCGGTGATCATAAGGTGATCGCAAGGGGGCGACCCCACTAAACACACAAACACGAAAGGAAAAAAACAACTAATGAAACGAACTGCTGTACAGTTCGTGCGAGAGCCCAAACGATAGCGGGGGAAAAAAAGTTACCGAAAACAATGCTGAGAACAGAGTTGGCCTCTCGGCGTATACCACCGCCACTTTATGGGTGACGGAAGTCGCGCTGGGCGCTTGGCCCTTCTTACAGCTTGTTGTCCTTGACCACCGTTGTAGGGTCGGGAACTGATGCGCGCATTCGCCCAGTTCTTCGATTCGTCTCTTGTCGACTTCCAATGCTTGTCTGCACCCCCTGTCTACCGACAAGAGTCTGCAGAACGAGCAACCGAATCCAACTCCAACCACATATTGCAAATTTTGTTACGAACCCAACACCACCACCCCCCTCTTGTCGGTTGCACGCCCAACACGTGCTGTTTCGGGCGGCGTGCTTGTCTGTATCCTGTCTTCCAACAAGAATCTGCAGAACGAAAAAGCTACGTCTACGGCATATGATTTCTTGTGCATACGGTACGCTGCACACCCCTAAAAGCCCGGCATCTAGCTCGTCGGTGCAGCAATAGAATGCGAGTCCAACCACTATTAAACGTTTCTCTTCCGGACCCACTCCATCCGCCCCCTCCCGTCGGTTACACGCGTTACTTCGTCCCTGAAGTCAATGTACCCATCACCACGCCTGGCCGTCTTACGCCTGCTGAATTCCTCCTTTTCCATACATTTCTTCACCGCTTCATACGAGGCCCTTGCATCCTGTTGCATGCCCGCGCCGATATCTTCCTCGCTCGATATGACGCGAAGCAGCGCGTCCTCGTCGAGAGTACGGTCGACCACCTCCTCGACCAACCCATCTTTCACGCCCTTCAGGAAATGCGACATATCCACGTCCACTCCTGTCGTCGCCTTCAGTGCCACGTTTGCGGTCACCACCGCCACCTGGGAAGAGAGCAAACACATACATTACGAGGTTGCTAAAAGAAACTCACCACAGTTCAATATTGCTCACGTTTCAAGGCATACTTCCGCGACGCAGTCGCTATATTCAAAGTCATAAATGAAATCATGTTTCGCACAGGGAAAATTCGTCGTTCGAAGTGCGACTTGAGCTAAAGTAGGGGTGACTCAGCAGCGTAGAACCCAAACAACGCAATTACTGCAAGTGGCAAAACCCTTGTCCTACCTGAATCACCGGCGATACTTTCTTCACCCAGCCACGCTTCTCCTGAAACCGATAGCCTTCGCCACCATACCGTAGTCATGTCGACCGGGCACAAGAAGTGCAGCGTCATGTCTTTCTTCCCCACGCCACGAAGCTTGCCCAGCCATCTCTTGACGCCATGAGCGTTCGACGAGGTGCCATTAGATCCAACCTCCTTTACGACCACAAGGTGAGGGTAGGGGTAGTTCGGGGCCTGCAAGTCCTTGAGGTGCATGAGGCTTTCCTGGGTGCTCTCTGCCACCTTGTCCAGTTTTTTCTTTACCATGGCCAACTCGTTCTTCACATCGCCGAATTCAGCTTTGGTGTCGTCAAACCCTCTCTTCATCTCGCCCTGTACCTCGCCAAACCCTCCCTTGAGCTCGTCAACCGTGGCCTTAACCTCGTCAAACCCGGCCTTGGTGTCGTCAAACCCAGCCTTGGTGTCATCAAACCCGGCCTTGGCATCGCCAAACCCCTCCTTCATCTGAACCTTCACCTCGTTGAACCCCCCTTCATCGCTTTGGCCACGTCGTCGATCTTTCGAACCAACTTGTCCTCATCCTTCGAGCTACCCTGTGACGCACATGACGCAGGGAAAGGTAACAGCATAACAAAATTGAGCAGCTATTTTCACAACGTAGTTCACGATGTCACTTTTCAGAACGATTCTGTCTTCGACGGTGCATGACACAACTACCAGCCTTAAACAAGGGGTAGAAGGCACCCAACAGCGAAAAGAAATGCGACATGTATCCTAACGCCCCCGTTCACAACAGGTTTTCTCAGGACGTAATTGTTGCGATGGCGTAGTGCACACCCGTTCTGCCCCGCTGACTACAGAGCTGTTGAACTCGAAAAATACCATATCGATCGCCATACGCCACGATCAGCGAGAATCAACGCCATCCCAACGCTTCACGATGAATGGTCGAAAGACTGCTGTATTAGCCCAGATATCGATGTGAATGGGCTCGTTCGAAGGGCATCGTTTGTCGATAGAATAAGAAACATTGGTTTTCCCTAGCGGGTGTAGTTGGAGAACACGCGTTCTTGTGGCACAATCATTCCAAGGTTTTCGACAATGCACACGTCTGTACCACTCAGGATATGAAACCCGTTCTTACCGTCGGGCGAGGGAAGGCGTACTGACCCCCCACGACGTCGAACCGCGCCTTCGCCTCGTCAAAAATCACGTCTGTCGAGCGAAAATGAGCGGGACAAGTCACTCAGTGCCCGAAACCGTTTCTTTACTTACGAACGATGTCATGCTCGCAACCCCCATCAGCAGCATGACAACGGTCGAAATCGGACTCAGCTGGGGTCTCAAACATGCATGCATTTGGGTAACACAAATTTCACTCCCCCACTGATTCTTAACGAAACGTACAACACAGGCGACAAACACAAAGTCAAAGTAGACGACACGTCGGGGCAGGCAACGCAACCGGACAAGAATCTCGTGTTATGTTTCCAATATTATTTTACAGTCGTTCAGTTAGGCTCCGGCCAAAACACAGGAGATGCGGCGTTCGCTAATCACCCAAGATCACAACTTGACGCCAACAAAACAGAGATGTAGACATGCCGAAAAAAATGAGTGAATGCACAGGTCGGGCCGATCGAACAGAGGCTCGAAAACCAAAATCAAAGGAATGTATTGTGTTTATGACAGGGTCAGAGTCATCCCATCAGGTGACGACTTTAAAACAAAAAATATTCGGCAATGCTATTTGCTCCACCGGTTGAGTAAGTTCTTATTTGCTACACCAGGTAGATCTCCACCCACAGAGCTCCAATCGACCTCAAACCAATTGCATCGTGTAGGTATGGGCTACAGCTATCTGCAATGCTACTTACAAGCTAAATCTGACCGGTGGCTGCAGAGATATGCTGAAAAAGGGGATTCCGCAGCATGCCAGGAAGCAGCAATCGTCTCGAACCTCCGTCCACACCGCTTCAATTGACCTCAAATCTTTTTCATTGTGTGTGCACGGCCCATGCCGTTCTTCTAAGCTATCGGACACTCACATCCGATATATTCCCGCAGAGATATGGTCAACCGAGGGGGTTCCGCAGCATCTAGGGGGGGGGGGGGTAACTGGCAATAGTCCCGCTATGCCTCCCGCCACATAGCTGAACCACGCCTATCTCGGCCCGCATCGTGTTGGCACGGCTCACAGCTATCATTCAAGCCATCCTCCACCCCAATCGGACCAGTGGGTGCAAAAAAACGCCCCCACGCGGGGGCTCAATGGGTCAAGGGCCGGTGGAGCAAAAAATCTTATCTGCTCCACCAGGCCAAAAT